GAAGGGTGGAGGGGGTGAATGGGGCACAGGTAATGGGGAAAAATAAGAATCAAGATACATCATGTACAGGTACAAACACCCAATGATAAATGTAAATGTATTGTATACCTAAAATGTACCAATAAAAGAACTCAAGACTAAAACCCCCCCCCAAAACAAAAAGAATACCTGGAGGATATCAGCTAGGAATTCTGAATGTGTTCACTGGATACTGACAGATGTGGGCAGAAAATATATCATCAGGAAGGGCAGATGGACCAATAGGCAGTAAGCTCCTGGGTGTGAGGTCTCTTCTCTGGAAGCAGATTCAAGTGTGTGTTTCCTGACCTGAGCCCTGTTGCTGATAAGGTGGTCACAGGTTGACTATTTTCAGTGTCTGTGGCCTTGAGAACTCAATTAGCACAGCTCCTCATTAGCCAGAGGTGCATTCTCATTTATCCTCCAAGGCAGCTAAGAGCCTTCAGGTATAGATCACAGAAGGGCAGAACTTTTGGTGACTGATTTCCTGAACCTGAGAGTATAGGTGCACAACATTCTTTTCCTGCCACATCTGCTTTTGCTTCCAGGGATCTCAGTTTTGGATGCAGGCTCTGACATCTAGACAGTGGGAGGGATCCTCCTTTGTTTAAAATCCCAGCTCATTCTGAGGTAGAGATGATCACTAAAGCACTGGTTTTAAAAATTAAAAGAAAAGAAAAAATGTATGACACTATTTTATACTAATCATTATAGTCAAGAGGAAAAAAGCAGATATTGTAATATGTATGCAAGATAATGAGAGTTTAAATTGATGCAACTACTTTGGAGCATTGTATGGTGGTATTCAATAAATGTGCCCATACCTATTCCCTAAGATATAAATATTGGACTCCTAAAGGTGCAAAATTGTGCACTCAACAGCCTGGATGAGAATGCCCCTTGCTGTGCTACTGAGCAAATATTCTAGCTCTAGCCGGGCATGGTGGTGCACATCTGTAATTCCAGTTCATGGAAGTCTGAAGCAGGAGGATCAGCAATTTGAGGCCAGCTTGGGATACACCGTGACATCATTTCTCAGAAAACTCAAAAAATTTAAAAATAAAAATACAATCCTAGCTGTAGACAACTCACTACCCTAACAAACAAATAAATTGCGCATACTCACACAGTAGAAATGGATGGAATAATGGGAATAAACATTTACTAAATGGAATAAACTATGGGAGTATCACAAATATAATTTTGAGCAGAAGAATTTGGGCATAAGTAATTCAATATGACATTCCATATAAAATCCATACAACTCTGCAAATATACCAGAATGTCACAACTTTGCATTTTAAATTTGCCAACGTTGCAGCAGGTAACATACAAAACCATTATAAAGGCTGGGATACACATCATATTTACATCCAGTAGCAGAAATCAGGCAATTATTTACTAAAGATGAGTACTGAGGGGTTGTTTATGGGTACTGATTGTGCCTTTTATCTTTGCCAATATTCAACAGTACACATAGTTAATTCTGTCTTGTAAAATCATAGAGAGCTGCAAGATTCTGAACATACAGTAAAGGAAAGCTCCAGTGTGTTGTAAAATATTACAGAATTCCATGGAAAATTTAACCATTCACATTCTTGGTATGATGATTCATTACAGACTATTATTGTCATCGTTATTATTATTACTATCATCATCATCATCATTTCATTAATGCACTACTCTAACAAAACCCACGATCTTGCACTTTAAGCAAAAGTTTTACCACTGAGCCACATTCCTAGTCTTATTGCAGACCTTTCCACAAAACAAGGCCTATAAAATTTATAAATACATAGAAGGATTATAAATATAAATTAAAGATTTATCTAATAAACACATATATCCATGAAATGATCATCCATATCTCCTTCAATATGTAAATACTTATTAAAAGGTAGTAGCAAAATGAGATGTAGAATCTACGAACACACGAAGAGGATCTGAGGAAAGGAGGAAAAGAGAGTATCAGGAGGGCAAGGGAAGTAAACATGATCAAGATTTAATATGAAAACATACAGAAAAAGAAGAGGGTCAAGGGGGAGGGAGGGATGAAAAATGATAAAACAAGGAAATAAGATGTATTATGCACATGTACCCATTTTTGAAAATGAATATAAGCATTACATACTTACTATACATATGTACTAATTAAAAAGATAATAAAAATGATTTGATGTGTATATGTAGCAATTCTCCAAGATGAATATAATTATGTTTTGCAAAACTATACCAACAATAACAATGTTGAAAGCCTGATTGTCTGTGAGGTATACTTGTTCATAATTGTAGTTAGTTGGAAGTAAAAGAATCAATCTGTCTTCCACAACACACACATATGGACCAAAAAAAAAAACATGTTCAAAACATGGTAGCTTCAATGTGTGGTGTTTATTTTTCTCAAACAGAGAGCGAGTCATACAGATATTTAAAGTTATTTCACATAACTTTTGACAGATGAAAAATATATGAGATATCTGATGCAGGCATTTGAGAACTTGGGGTTTCTCCATGTTAACATATTTCTTCTTGTTTCAGGCTTTCTTCATATGCAATAAAATAAGAAATGGGCTAGGTGTGGAATATGATCATACCAAATTTTATTGAGTATTTTATATTGTCCAGGAATTCTGCTAAGAGACATGCCAAAATTAGATACTACATCAGTGGCATTGAAAAGACCATCCTCAGGCTACTCAAGTTTGTATCACATAAGGTCATGTTAGAAAGGCACATTCATGGCCCATTCCATGTGCTGAAGTGAAGCCCAATCTCTCAGGATTGGAACAATGGAACTGGACCAAAGAACCTTGCCACAAGGTGTCCTGCTGATTCAAATAACATAGCAAAGGCTGTGAACCACTGAGCTGCTTAGTCTACTCTGCTCATGATAATCCCATTCATCTCACCAAGAGTTACATTTCAGATGGGCAGAGGTCCCAATTTTGCCCTACAATATGTCAAAGTATGGCTTCTGAATAACTCCATTAAAATGAGACCCAAGAAAAACCTAGTCACCTTTCTATCTCTCAGTGTCACATCAGAATAAGACAACTGCAATTGATCCTGGCTTTATCTGTTGGCCATGAGGAGACATAGCACAGGGTAAAGCTCACTCAGATATGATGAACACAGTATGCTCTGCCCGGATGGACCCCTCCTTCACTCAGTTTATTGAAGATGATCATCCTAGTTGAGCAAATTTGATTGGAATCTTTTTGGTAATATTTGAGACACAGCCATACTAATGGGTGGAATTCAAACATTTCATAATCACGTTAAATTCTAGAATAGGAAATTTAGAACAATTTTATTGATGGGAAGCCAAGTGTAGTTGGTAATATTATTGCTGTACAGACAACAATTTTATTAACCACTGAGCCCAGCCTCAGTAATGCCAGCATTTAGTGATGATAATGAGTAGATTCTCTGTTCTCTGGCAAATTACCTCAGCTGAATAAAACTCTGTCTGGAAATCCATGTCATAGCCCAGGTAACAATGCTGAGGATACTACAGGGGGCTATAAAGCACATTTTCAGATAAGAATAATTCAGGGAAACTATATATATGGCACTATCCATGGATGAAGCCTGGTTCTTTAACTATAATGAAATACTTACTTAGCTCCTTGCTTTGTCCTGAAATCTTGCTGTTACTAACATTCTCCTGGGAAGCAACCCCCTTCCCAGACACTACAAGTAGAATTATTTGCTCAGGTTCTACTTCTGTGCAAACTTACCAGGAAATAAAGCTCAGAAATGTAACAAATTTTTGTGAATCTATGCTATAGAACACCAATTCAGTTTTCTAATCTATGTTAAAACATCCTTCTTCTAAACATTTAGTGGTAGAAGGGTCTACCTGTTCTTTGATTCTTTCTAGAAGTCTAAGTCCAAAGCAGATGAGACAGTTACACAGAGTGAGATGTGCTGATCAGTTTCTTCAAGGCTTCCTTCATGTCTCTGCTCCTCAGACTGTAAATAAAGGGGTTCGTCATTGGAGGGACCACTGTATACATATCTGAGGCAACTGCAGGCTTTCTGGATGAGTCAGTCGCTGCAGAGCTGATGTACACTCCAAAAGCTGTCCCACAGAACAGGGAAACAACAGAAAGATGAGACCCACAGGTAGAAAATGCTTTGTACTTTCCCTCAGTTGAGGGCATTCTTACAACAGAAGAGGCAATTTTAAAGTAGGAGAAAATAATCCCAAGGAGAGGGACACCACCCAATATGCTGGTCACTACATATACCAAGATGTTGTTGAGGAGGGTGTCAGAACAGGACAGCTTGATGACCTGGTCCAGTTCACAAAAGAAGTGGGGGATTTCCAGGTCTGCACAGAATGACAGGCGAAGTACCATCAGGCAGTGCAGCAGGGCATCTACAGTGCTAGTGAGCAATGAGAACAGAGTCAGCAGAACACATAGACAGGAGTTCATGACGACTGTGTACCTAAGTGGATGGCAGATGGCTATGTAATGGTCATAGGCCATTGCTGCAAGCAGAAGGTTTTCTAATCCAGCAAAAACCAGGACCAAGCAGAGCTGGGTAAGGCAGCCTTTGTAACTGATGGCTCTGCTCTGTTTCAGGATATTCACCAGCATCTTGGGGACCATGGTGAAGCTGAAACAGATGTCAGTGAAGGACAGGTTGGAGAGGAAGAAGTACATGGGGGTACGGAGGTGGGAGTCAGTGCTGATGGCCAGGATGATGACCATGTTCCCAAGCACTGTTACCAAGTACATGGACAGGAACAGTCCAAAGATAAGGGGCTGCAGTCCTGGATCCTCTGAGAGACCCAAAAGTAAGAATTCTGCTGTACTTGTTTGGTTTTTTGCTTCCGTATTTGTGAGGAGACTAATAGGAAAATACAGGTAATGGGAGAGAGATCAGATTTATTACTTTAGAAAATTTTTACAGCTATATATTAAAGTGAAGCAAATATTACTCTTTCCCTCTATCTTCTGCTCACTTTCCCTTTCTACTTTCTTTTCTTTCTGTCCTCTACTGTCCTCTGCTACCTTATTAACCAAATTTTATTTGTGGAAATCTACTCTTTTCCTACATTGCAACAAGTAGGAATCAAATAGAAAAAACACACATGCCTTTACCCTTGAAAATTCTCCAAACCTTAAATCATCAGGAACACCCAAACCAAACAATGTTAAATCTAAATGAACCATCTCAGCTTCAATCCATATTTCAACTGAGACAGAATTGCTCTAGTGCTTGCTCTGTAAATGAGAAATGGTTTGGAGCTGTGCAAGAAATCTCAGTCTTCTCACTGGTACAATGGGGAAAATGTTACAAAACCTTACAAGTATGTTGCAAGAATGAGAAATAAGACCAAATGCTTTAGACACTTAATATTAAGTATGAGATGCTCAATATGTCTGTTATAATTTGTTTCTGCCATAGATATGATCAGACTGCTTGGCATGGTTGCTAATGCAAGAAAAATGATGAGTGGAACATAATGTAGAATGATGAAAGAATAATACAACACCTTATTAAAACTCCTTAGTCTGATAATTGCACATTAGAGGGAAGGATTGATGTACTCAAAGTCTCATTGAGAATCTTGGATATGTAGGGAAGCGAGAAGAATGGACAAACCAATCACCTCCATGCTAACCTCTCTTGTACATACAAGGAAATATCTAGCAATCAACTAGAATAAATAACCTACCTGTGGCAGCAAACATAAGATAAATGTAAAAAACAAGTAATTTGCCTTATAAAGCATCTATGGAATGATAAAATTAACATAGATTTTAAAATACCACTGTAGGGATAGAGACCTGTAGGTAGGGAAAGATGAGGGAGACCCCTGGAAGGAGTTTAGACAGATGGTTAAACAGGCTTAACCACCTGTGAAGAGCTGACATCCTGAGGTCACACTTCCTCTTTACTCTGTACACACAAAAGCTTCGCTTGCAAAAGTTAAAAGGAAAAAATGAAAACCTGACCTTAAAGTGTGAAAAGCCCCTAAAGACCCTTCCCCATCTTCCCTATAAATCAGCTAATCGACTGATCAAATAGGGGCATCCTCAGCCAGAGACAGGATAGCCCCCCGACTACTATAAAGTCAATACCTGAAGGCCCAGTTCAAGAGTGGCTCTGTTTTAGGCACCCCTGTCTGTCTCTGAGAGAAGGCAGCTGTATTCTTGCATGTTTGCTGAATAAAAGTACAAACTTTGTATCTACGCTTTTGACCTGTATCTGATTCTTCCACAACCTTCCGAGTGGTTGGGAGAGTCAGACCCCAGATGGCAGGGACTCTTCTCCCATCTCCCCCCACAACACCACCGATATTAATTCTTAATTTCTTATATTTCAAATACAAAAAATAGCACTTCAAAGGCATTAAAGACCAAGGTATATACCAATCATAAAGTAGACTGTCATGTTTGCATTAGATATAAAATAATACATATTTACTTATACATAATCTCAGTCATATGAGGATCATGTTTTTTTCTTCCCAAAGGAACCATTGCTCACCATGAACTTGGCAATGATTATTCCATTACAGTTTCAATACACTGAATTTTTCTTCCTGGAAACTATGTTCTGGTTTTCTTTCTCCTTTTAAAAAAATTAATACATACTAATATTGTACATTAATGGAATTCAGCGTGGTATTTCCATTCATGCATGCAGAGTGCCCTGATAAAATCCAATGCATATCTTTTATCCTCCCCCACAAATCTTTCCAAATGCCTACTATTCACCATTCTACTTTCAAGTTGACTTTTTATAGACTTCATGTGTGAGACAGACTAACTTGCTGAAATGTTATGTTAAACATGGTATTTTCTCATTAGTTTGTCAAAAGTAGTATGTTTAATTACTTTTTGGTCTTCATGTTTTTTGGTCCGGTTCATTAATTTTAATTACCTCACTAAATTCTTTTTTTTTTGGTACCGGGGATTGAACTCATGATCTTGTGCTTGCGAGGCAGGCAGTGGAACCACTGAGCTAAATCCCTGGCCCCTGACCTAACCAAATTCTAATATCTAGTTACATTACATTAAATAAACATACATTACATAAGTTCACAAATACATGTTTCTACATCACATGTACATTTATGGACATTCATATACACACATGTAATATTGTGCAATGGGTAAAACTTTAGAGTAACATCTGAAAAAAAATTAACTTTGCAAAATGAAGGAGTGGAGCATAAATATTATATCTATGGATAGGTGGGTTTTTGTTATTTTAAGAAAGGTTCTGTGCTTGCAAAATGTCAACACTGGCTAAGATTAAATGCAATGATATAAGTTTATTTGTTCTCTCTCTTCTGCCTTTTCAGTTTTCATTATGTCACAGAATACCATGCAGGCTAGTGTGTAGTCTTGGGATCTGCTGTCCTCTCCACCTGCTCTCTTGTAGAATAATCAAGAACAGGGGCAAAGTGTTAGCTAAGGATGTGCACTATAATTAGGGAAGGGAAGAGTAAGAAGAGCTAGGCATACACCTTGCTGCTTGCCAAATTCTGGATACAGAATTTCAGAACATCCCTCAAGGTGAGCAACAGAAGATTACTGTTAGGGTAAAAGACATCCCTGGACCCCAGGTCAGAGTTAGACATAAGCAGAATGAAAACTGCTCCAATATTGCTGCATAAAAGAGGCAAATATCTGGAGATGATAATTGTGCAGACACCACACAATTGACTGAGCTCTGCTCATGTTCCTCATGTCTCATCTCCTAGCCCACAACAGAGACTGTAGACAAACACTTCTCACTGTTGACAAAAGGTAAAGCACCAGACTTAACATTACCTGGATGCCAACACTGAAGAAGGACATTCAGATCTTGGCTGGGTGTGATGGAGATAAATGGAAGCTCTGTTCTCAGAGAACACTGAAAGGTAGAGAAGCACCTGGCTCCTGTGCAGAAATGCTGGTTGCTGGGCCCAGTCAGGGGTGCTGCCTCCAGACCTGGATGAGGCTGTGGGGGCACAGCCACAGGTAGACTATTTTCAGTCTCTATGGCCCTTGGGCTTCCATAGCCAAAGATTCTCATTAATCAAACTTTTCAGTCTCATGTGATTACAGGGCAGTGCAAATCCATAGGGAGCAAGCCTGAGAGATGAAGTATTTGGCTTTGGTTGCTTCTTTCTCCTGGATAGGCCAAGGAAAACCATCTTCTTTTTGCGGGTGGGGGTGGGGGTGGGGGTGGCGTTCAAGTACCTTACCCTTTTACACATGTTGGTTCTGTTGCTGAATTCTATCTTTCCTTAACCCTATCATAACAATAAGTATGAATGATTGAAATCACATTTAGTTTTGCAAATGATATTTACAATGAATATAAACTGTGACCAGAATATATAAAGAACTCTTACAGCTCATTAATAGACAACCCAATTAAAAAATAGACACAAGAAGATGATAAATAGCCAGTACAGTACAAGGAAAGATGTGCAACACTGGAATCAGAAAAATACTAATCAGTACAATAACAAGATTGAATTATACACTCCTTAGGGAGATGAAATTAAAAGTTTTAAAAGCCTTGTCATGACTTTTTCTTTTTGTTGGATTCTCCCCCTTTGCATTTAATTTGTCAAACCCAATGGATTCATTTTGCTAGACTTCCTAGGGTTGTGATCCTCATTGTCTTTTCCTACAATACTGTCTAAAAATTTTTTTTGAGTGTTGGTTTGGTATTCATGAAGTTCCTAAGGTGCTCTTTATCTTGAAAGTATCTTATTTCTCCATCAATTTTGAAAGAGAGTTTTACAGGGTACATCAATCTGGGTTGGAGGCTGTTTTCCTTAAGGCTTGAAATACATCACTCCAAGCTCTTCTTGCCTTGAGGGATTGCCTTGAGAAGTCTGGTGTGATTCTGATGGGCTTTTTTTTGTATATGACTTGTTTCTTTTCTCTCACTGCTTGTAGAATTTTGTTCTTCTGTTGGGTTCCTGGAATCCTAAAAATAATATGCCTATGTGTAGATTTTTTTTTTTTGTCAAGGCTAAATGGAGTCCTATATGCCTCACTTATCTGTATGTCAAGTTCTTTTCCCCTGCTTAGGAAGTTTTCTGCCATCACTTCTGTGAAGAGTTTTTTT